TAGGCATGCAGACGGCTTCTACAAACATCTGTGAAAGAATGGGTCGCTCTCAGGAGCTCAGTGACTCCAAGCGTGGTCCCGTGATAGGTGGTCACCTGGGCAATAAGTCCATCCGTGACATTTCCTGGCTACTAAATATTCCACGCTCAACTGTTAGTGGGGGATTATAACAAAGTGGAAGCAACTGGGAACAACAGCAACTCAGCCATCAAGTGGTAGGTCACGTCACATGACAGGGCGGGGTCAGCGCATGCTGAAGCGCACAGTGCGCAGAAGTCACCAAGAGTGCAATTGTCCAATTGTCTGCAGAGTCAATAGCTAAAGACCTCCAAACTTGGTGTGGCCTTCAGATTAACACAACAACAGTGTGCAGAGAGCTTCATAAAATTGTGTTTCCATGGCTGAGCAGCTGCATCCAAGCCTTACATCAACAAGTGCAATGCCAATGCAAAGAGTTGGATGCCATGGTGTAAAGCACACCGCCACTGGACTCTAGAGCAGTGAAGATATGTTTTCTGGAGTGACCAATCATGCTTCTCTGTGCCTGAATTTGGCAGTTTCCAGGAGAACGGTACTTGCCTGAATTCATTGTGTCAAGTGTAAAGTTTGGTGGAGGGGGAATTATGGTGTGGGGTTGTTTTCCAGGGATTGGGCTTGCCCCCTAGTTCCAGTGAAGGGAACTCTTAAGGCGTTAGCATACCAAGACATTTTGGACAATTTCATGCTCCCAACTTTATGTGAAGAGTTTGGGGATGGCCCCTTCCTGTTCCAACATAACTGCACACCAGTGCACAAAGCAAGGTCCATAAAGACATGGAGGAGCCAGTTTGGGGTGGAGGAACTTGACTGTCCTGCACAGAGTCCTGACCTCAACCCCATAGAACACGTTGGGATGAATTAGAGCGGAGACTGCGAGCCAGGCCTCCTCCCTTGACATCAGTGCCTGACCTGACAAATGTGCTTCTGGAAGAATGGTCCAACCTTCCCATAGACACCCTCCTAAACCTTGTGGACGGCCTTCCCTGAAGAGTTGAAGCTGTTATAGCTGCAAAGGGCGGGGCCAAATCCATACTGAACCCTACGGACTAAGACTGGGGGGCCATTAAAGGTCATGTGTGTGGAAAGGGCGGGCCAACTCAATATTGAACCCTACGGACTAAGACTGGGAGACCATTAAAGGTCATGTGTGTGGAAAGGCCAGCAGCCCAATATTGAACCCTACGGACTAAGACTGGGGGGCCATTAAAGTTCATGTGCGTGGAAAGCTAGGCAACCCAATAATTTTGGCAATATACTTGCAAACAAATATCAAAATCTTGGATTTCGTTGTTTAATGCAAAAATTTGTTTTCCTTGATGAAATTTCCTACCAAGGGCAATCTAATGTAATGACTTCATCTGCAGTACAAAGGAACATGTGATGGAGAGAAGTATGATAAGTAGGCGGCTCGCAATGCACAACACTTACAATTGGGCTCTGGGGTTCAGATAGATCTCCCAACTCACTCATATCCAACCTCGGCTCTGACACCAGAGGAAGCTGAGGGTTTGATGCTACCAGTGACTAATTAATGTGTATTTTCTCTTCTGCAGTTTAAATTGGTTTCTGAGAAAACTAATTATTATTATTTATTTTAGAAAAAGAAGCCATAGAACAGTTTTTATATAGCCAGAGTGATTGTAATTTGTAAAATATTTGTAAAAAAAAAAAAGTCGGCAGAAAAATAAAAGTCAAGGGGAAAAGAGGAAGAAGAAGTTAAAGCAGCAGTAAAGATACAACGTTTTTACTCATCTTGGATAGAGTAAGGGAGGGTTATGACCCCTATAATTTTTTTTTTTTTTTGCCTTCTGTGTCCCATTGTGGAGATTTTTTTTTTTCACTTCCTGTCCCATAGCCAAAACAGGAAGTGAGAGGAAATCCCTCCAAAGTGAGGAAATCTCTAAAGTAGTCTACCCATTGGAAGATTTCTGTTGACAACTCAGAATTTAGGCTTTTCTTTCACACCCAGGGGCGGACTGACCATTTGGAAACTAGGGCACTGCCTGAGGGCCTGGGGTCAGTAGGGGGCCCCATGAGATGCCCCTGGTACCTTTTTCATAGGCTTTTTTGAGTTTGGGCAAGGACAAAGGGGCCCCATGATCCCCTATTGCCCGGGGGCCCCATGAGTTGTCAGTCTGCCCCTGTACACACCTGAAAATAATAGTCAAAGGAACACATAGAGAGTGAATTTCCAGAACGGGGACACAGCAATAAAAATATGCCAGGGGTTCTAATCTCTCTCCACTCCATCCAAAACTAAAAAAAAAACTGTTTTACCTTTAGTTATACTTCAACCCACTTGCTTGACAAGGCAATTTTTTAAATTTTTGCACACGTTAAAATCTGCATATTTTTGGCTATAAACTACTTTATACCTCCCGAATAGTTATATATTTTCAGAAAGCAGAGACCCTGGAGAATAAAATGGTGGAAGTTGCAATTTTTTATGTTGATATTTGCGTAGCCATTTGTCAAACACTTTTTTCCAGGAAAAAATACACTAAAATGAAGTGCAAACAAACACAATACTATACATAATTTTTTGGTGAAATATAAAAGATGGGGTTGTGTTGAGTAAATAGATGATGACAGACATCAAGACTATGGTACCCCAGCACTCTGATTGAAGAATCTTAGACACCCAGCACGCTCCTTGCGGACTCATGGGCACCCAGAGCTATAGTTGGGGAATCATGGGCATCCAGAGCTCTAGTTCAGGAATCATGGGCACCCAGTGCTCCAGCTGGGGAATCATGGGCACCTAGAGCTCTAGTTGGGGAATCATGGGCACCCAGAGCTCTAGTTTAGGCATCGTAAGGCATGGGCAGACTACCCATTTGTAAACTCGGGCACTGCCCGAGAGCCTGGGGTCAGTAGGGGGCCCCATGAGATGCCCCTGGTACCTTTTTCATAGGCTTTTTTTGAGTTTGGGCAAGGACACAGGGGCCCCATGATCCCCTATTGCCCTGGGGCCCCATGAGTTGTCAGTCCGCCCCTGATCGTGTACACCCAGTGCTCCAGCTGGGGAATCAAGGGCACCCAGAGCTCTTGTTAGGGAATCATGGGCATCCATGGCTCTAGTTCAGGAATCATGGGCACCCAGCGCTCTAGTTGGGGAATCACGGTCACGCAGCACTCTAGCTGGAGAATAATGGGCACACAGCACTCTAGTTTGGGAATCATGGGCTCCCAATGCTTTAGTTGGAGAATCATGGGCACCCAGTGCTCTAGTTGAGGAATCATGGTCACCCAGTGCTCTAGCATGGAATCATGGGCACTCAGTGCTCTAGTTGAGGAATCATGGTCACCCAGTGCTCTAGCATGGAATCATGGGCACTCAGTGCTCTAGCTGAGGAATTATGGTCACCCAGTGCGTTAGTTGGGGTATCATGGGCATCCAGTGCTTTAGTTAAGGCATCATGGGCACCCAGAACTCAAGCTGGGGAACCGTGGGCACACAGCACTCTAGATGGAATCATGGGCACCCAATGCTCTAGCTGTGGAATAGTGGGCACCCAGTGCTCCATTTGGGGCATAATGGGCAGCCAGTGCTCTAGTTGGCGAGCCATGGGCACCCATCACTCTTGGGATTGGCCAAAGTCTTCTGGGATATATCCCAAGAGTCTGCAGGCATTGGGTTTCTCACCAGAAATATGATAGATAAAAAGTTTACCAAAAAACTTTTTATCTCTCCAGTCGTATCCAACCCTTGGCGATTGCATGGAACGTCACTCGTAAGCAACTTTTTCCATGAATTCTCTTAGCAATTATTTTTACAGGGTAGGTTGCCAGGTCTTTCCCCAACCGGATGGCCAGGGATGAAACTAGGACAATTTTTTTTTAGACAGGAGCCAATTAACCTACCAGCATGTCTTTGGAGTGTGGGAGGAAACCCACACGAACACAGGGAGAACATGCAAACTCCATGCAGGAGGCGCCATGGTCAGGAATCAAACCCATGACCCAATTACTGCAAGGTGGAAGTGCTAACCACTAAGCCACTGTGCCGCATATATATATATATATATTCTATTTTGTCCAAGGTGGGAGAAAATGGGCGTAAAGGTTCCTTTAATGTCTTGCAACTTTAAATAAATATAACATTTCATACATAAAATATCAATTTTTTAGACTACTATATTTCTGCTCAATCCCTGATCTCTTGAGAAACCTATGGCCAACATTTCATTATCACATATGTGCGTGTGAACAGATGGTGCCTACAAAGGTGATCACTCTATATGCGCACACACTATATGAAATAAATTACCGCCTCCAAAGATGATTCTAAAGGTTCCTTAATCTTATATCGGTCAATTTGAGGTGACAGCTAATATTCGCCTTCTCTCCTGAGATATTATTGGAAATAAAGATTGCAGACAGCTGCGGGTTTCTGTTTAAAATAGACAAGAATTAAAGCTTGCAATCTGCTGCGCTGGTTCCCGACTCAGCAGATACAATAGATGCAAATTGCGAGTGCATTTTGTTGATCGTCTTGCTGTGTGCAACACACTGACATAAATAGGGGGTTCAATCAATCATGTTACATTGTAACAAGGTTCTGAAGTTCAGCCGGGAAATAAATTCTGCCTTTAATAAGATATCTATTCATGGCGGAACATGTGCGCTCCTTAATTCTGGAGATAGATGGCTAAGGTTCTCCTGGACTAAAACTCAACATTTCATTTATGTGCAAATAATGGTCAATAATATGAATCTGTGCTTTTATAAGCTGGAATACCAATTAGGGTGAATAACCAATCAGTGCTAAAGGGCAACTTCCATTGTAATGGGCAAATAGGAATATGGAGAATTTACCAAAGAGGGATCTCTAAGTAAGGTGCCTTTTTATGGAGGTTTCAAATCGCTCGTTGGTCATTTTCTTCCATTTATCCATCTCACAATTTTAAAAGCGTATTAAGTTAACCACTTCCAGTCCAGACACTTTCACCCCCCTTCCAGTCCGAACACTTTATCCCCTTTCCTGTCCGGACACTTTCACCCCCTTCCAGTCCGGACACTTTATCCCCTTCCAGTCCGGACACTTTATCCCCTTTCCTGTCCGGACACTTTCCCCCCCTTTTAGTCCGGACACTTTCCCCCCCTTCCTGTCCGGACACTTTATCCCCTTCCAGTCTGGACACTTTTCCCCCCCCTTCCAGTCCGGACACTTTCCCCCCCTTCCAGTCCGGACACTTTCCCCCCTTTTCCTGTCTGGACACTTTCCCCCCCTTCCAGTCTGGACACTTTCCCCCCCTTCCAGTCCGGACACTTTCCCCCCTTTCCTGTCCGGACACTTTCCCCCCTTCCAGTCTGGACACTTTCACCCCCTTCCAGTCTGGACACTTTCACCCCTTCCAGTCTGGACACTTTCCCCCCTTTCCTGTCCGGACACTTTCCCCCCCTTCCAGTCTGGACACTTTCACCCCCTTCCAGTCTGGACACTTTCCCCCCCTTCCAGTCCGGACACTTTCTCCCCTTTCCTGTCCAGACACTTTCACCCCCTTCCAGTCTGGACACTTTCACCCCCTTCCAGTCTGGACACTTTCCCCCCTTCCAGTCCGGACACTTTCACCCCCTTCCAGTTCGGACACTTTCACCCCCTTCCAGTCCGGACACTTTCACCCCCCTTCCAGTCCGGACACTTTCCCCCCTTCCAGTCTGGACACTTTCACCCCCTTCCTGTCCGGACACTTTCCCCCCTTCCAGTCCGGACACTTTCCCCCCCTTCCAGTCCGGACACTTTCCCCCCCTTCCAGTCGGGACACTTTCTCCCCTTTCCTGTCCGGACACTTTCACCCCCTTCCAGTCTGGACACTTTCACCCCCTTCCAGTCCGGACACTTTCACCCCCTTCCAGTTCGGACACTTTCACCCCCTTCCAGTCCGGACACTTTCACCCCCTTCCAGTCCGGACACTTTCCCCCCCTTCCAGTCTGGACACTTTCACCCCCTTCCTGTCCGGACACTTTCCCCCCCTTCCAGTCCGGACACTTTCACCCCCTTCCAGTCCGGACACTTTCCCCCCCTTCCAGTCGGGACACTTTCTTTCTCCCCTTTCCTGTCCGGACACTTTCACCCCCTTCCAGTCTGGACACTTTCACCCCCTTCCAGTCTGGACACTTTCCCCCCTTTCCTGTCCGAAAAACATGTCCAGACACTTTCACCCCCTTCCAGTCTGGACACTTTCACCCCCCTTCCAGTCTGGACACTTTCCCCCCTTTCCTGTCCGGACACTTTCACCCCCTTCCAGTCTGGACACTTTCCCCCCTTCCAGTCCGGACACTTTCACCCCCTTCCAGTCCGGACACTTTCCCCCCCTTCCAGTCGGGACACTTTCTCCCCTTTCCTGTCCGGACACTTTCACCCCCTTCCAGTCTGGACACTTTCACCCCCTTCCAGTCTGGACACTTTCACCCCCTTCCAGTCCGGACACTTTCACCCCCTTCCAGTTCGGACACTTTCACCCCCTTCCAGTCCGGACACTTTCACCCCCTTCCAGTCCGGACACTTTCACCCCCTTCCAGTCTGGACACTTTCACCCCCTTCCTGTCCGGACACTTTCCCCCCCTTCCAGTCCGGACACTTTCCCACCCTTCCAGTCGGGACACTTTCAGCCCCTTCCAGTCCGGACACTTTCCCCCCTTCCTGTCCAGCCAATTTTCAGCTTTCAGCGCTGTCACACTTCGAATGACAATTGCGCGGTCATGCAACACTGTACCCATATGAATTTTTAGCATTTTTTTGAGACAGATAGAACTTTATTTTGGTGGTATTTATTCACCGCTGGGATTTTCTTTTTTTTTGCTATATAAATGAAAAAGTCCCCAAATTTTGAAAAAAAAAGTGTTTTTTCTTCTAAAATTTTGCAAATAAATAATATTTCATCATAAATCTTGGCCAAAATGTATTCCGTTATCTTTTTAGTAAAAAAAAAAGAACCTAAATTAGTTTATAACCAAAAATTATAATTAAAAAAAAAAGTTTTTACATTTTTATTTTATTTTTTAATATTATTATTTATGGGTTTTTTTTAACATACTGCCACCCTAGCAGTACAGTGTCACCATAGTGACACTGTACTACTTGTGGGGGGTGATGAAGGGTTTTTTTTTTTGTTTTTTTTGTTTTTTTTACACTGATTGCTTTTACACCCATAGAGGATGTAAAATCAATCATTTCTCCTTCTCTCTGGCTGCATTCTTGCACCCATTGAGAAATGCTGTGTGAGCTGTGATTGGTCACAGCTTGTCACATGGTACAAGGCTGTTGTGAATAGCCCCGTACCATGTGACCCTTGTGATCATTCACAGATTTCACACGTAGTAAGCAATAATGTCAGATGTAACATCTTGCTTACTACTCTGCAGGTGATCACTGATTGGCCAATCAGTGATCACATGATCAGGACCTCGCACAGAGGTCCCGTATGACAATTGGTGTTCCACTGTGTCCGGAGGACACAGCGGGCACAGGATCGCGGTGCTGCGCGCTCCCAGGGAGTGCGCACAGCTTGAAAATGCGGGCGCCGTTTATGAACGGCAACCCGCTTCTGGACTGCCACCGTCTGGCCGTTTATATACAGCGGCCAGACGGCAAGTGGTTCAAATGGCTTTTCTACATCTTAAACTGTTTTTTTTTTTTTCCTGCATTAAATCAAAATTTAGCAAATCTAGGAAGTTAAATCCCCAGGTTTTCTTTAACTTTAGTTTGTTTGGACCAAACTGGTTCAAATTAACTATTTACCTCACTAACAGGTGCAACGGTTGGGATCGCTGTCTGTATGTTGCCTCAGCTATACGCAGTATACGAGGTGTGACAATTTAATTCCCGGAATGCCCGCAACGTAGCACTAGGGTGGTGAGTCACACAGCCATTCACACTCCAGCGTGTTCTGACGTGTTCTAACTTGCAATCTCCTGGGTCGCAGACCTGTAGACCCAGTATTTATGGAGTAGGAGAAGAAATAAAACGCGTGTGCATTGCACTGTTGGCATAAAATGAGTGAAGGGAATCTAGAGCAATCACATTTTGTGTGAAGTTTGTCAAAAGTGTGAGTGGAACGTTAGGTCTGATACAAAAGGCTTATGGAGAACATTCCCTGAAGAAATTAACTGTTTTTGAATGGCATGGGCAGTTTAAGGAGGGGTTGGGAGGGTGTCCACGATGATGCAAGAAGTGGGCAGCCAAAAACACAAAGCATGGATGTAAATGTGGACAGAGTGCACCTCACCTAATTGTAAGATGGGAATTCTGGTCTGAAAAGTGTATTCTCCACCACGACAATGCTCCTGCACATGAAGTGTTTGCAAGTTCCTGAAATCCATTCTGAAACTTGACCAACCACCTTTTTTTCCCCTGACTCAGCACCCTGCGACTTTTGGCTGTTTCCAAAATAAAAAAAATGCTTTAAAAGGACATAGATTTGATGACATTCAGTGTGCCGCGACAAAGATACTGCACAGCAACCCGGAAAACGAATTCCAGCAATGTTTCCAACAGTGGCACAGTCATCTAGAAAAGTGCAACACTTGACAAGGGGACTGCTTTGAAGGTGACAGCAGCTGCTAGTGTTTTTTTTTTTGCTGTTGTTCTCGCCTACTGCCATTGGGTCAGGGGCGTCCCTAGGGTTGGTGTCACCCGGTGCAATAACACTTGGTGACACCCCCTCCGACGATCCCCGCAGAATGGATCGGATCTGCGGTTTGAGCATAATGGATCTGACTCCAATCCATTATGCTCAATCCGCAGATCTGATGCATCTTGCAGGGATTGTCGGCTTTCTTTACAACTTACCTTTTCTTATAGCGGGTCCGGGGTCACCCCGTATAGGTTGCATGCTGACGAGGATCATCGGCATGCAACCTATATGGGGTGACACCTGACCCGCTCCAAGAAACTGTAAGTTGTAAAGAAAGCCGACGATCCCCGCAGGATGCATCAGATCCATCCTGCGGGGATTGTTGGCTTGCTTTACAACTTACCTTTTTGTGGAGCGGGTCCGGTGTCACCCCGTGCGGTAGGTGTCACCAGGTGCGGACCACACCCCCTGCAGCTGTCTCGGGACGCCACTGCATTGGATGTCACTGGCACTTGGGTCAATAGACATGGCTGTAACAATCTTGGGCTATGAATATTTATGTCTCCCCTGGCCAACCACTAGGAGGTTCATGGCAAGTAGTGTATGCTGGGGGAGGCTATCAATATTTGGAGAATGACCTGCTGAGTGTTCTTTCTCCCCAGCCTGTAGCCTGAAGAGGTGAGTGCAGTAGTATTTGTTGATTGGGCCACAAGCCTGTTTGGGCCTAGCACAGAATCCTCAAGGTGCACTACCTGGTCAAGAAGAGTACAGCACCCAAGGTGTAGAGCCAGAAGAAGTGGTGCCGGAGGGGGATGGAGTTTGCCCTCAGAGGTTCCTGGATAAAGTAGGAATGTGGTGGAGTCTGGGATCCATGTTTCTGGAGGTATCTGAAACCCTAACCCTCTCTTTTTTGGAAGCCAGAGTAATAAAAGTTTAAAAAGACTAAAGTGACTGGTGCCCTTCACTTTGGTAACTCTCCACTGTGGCCATGGATCCACTCAGTAATGTCAGCCCACCCTGGTGCTGGGGGTTTACATTTCTCCCAGCCAGGGGGGTCACTACATATAGAACCTATTTCTCTTCTTCAGCCCTACAAGGCCTGAAGAAAGGGATCCCATATACCTCAAAACCTTTTAGCAGTACCTAATCCCAACCAACGCACAAACTGGGCACCACTTGTCTAAAATTGCCTGTACCCAGATTACATCCCATGCAACAGGGACATTGAAAACTGCTGATGGGACCCTAGTGAACTTACCAAAATAAAACATCTTAACCAACGAGCACTGAGTTGTATGACAGTGGCCGTCTGATGAACCAGAACCAGCACCCCTCAACAGTTCTGTCAGGAGTTGAGCAGTCAAGGACAGTAACATGGTTCCCACACATCACCACCATTGCACCCCCAACCAGGAGGACCATAAAGCATCTCAACTATGATCAGAACATGTCCACTCCAGAGCCAAGAGGCCTAGGACCATACCACAGTTCCCACACATCACCACGTTTGCACCCCCAAAGAGTAGGCAAAGAAAGCAACCCATCTATGATCACAACTCGTTTAGTCAGAAGTCGAGTAGTCTAGGACCATAACATGGTTCCCACACATTACCAGAGAGGAGGAGATTAAGGGGGGATATGATCTCCATGTATAATACATAAGGGGGGATATGATCTCCATGTATAATACATAAGGGGGGATATGATCTCCATGTATAATACATAAGGGGGGATATGATCACCATGTATAATACATAAGGGGGGATAT